AATGCAATCCTATTTGAAAAATTTATATTTATTCATAAAGATAAAAATACATTATTCGAAGAAACTAAATATCATATACAAAAATATTCAAAAACATTTAATAAACATTTATATTGTACAAAGTATTAATTTTTATAGTAAAGAAGAATTATCATGCAAAACACCAATTTATATTTAAAAAAAATTTATATTTTAACTTATTACAGTTATTGCTCCAAATAGATTTATTTCTCCGGGAAACTAAAATAATTTGCACTCCGAAAACCATCACTTATTTTCTTATTTTTATTAATTTCACAATATGCAATATTCAACTAAAAACCAATCCATCAAAATGTTTAGGGGGGGGGGGGGTTTAACGAAGCCGCAAAAGAATAAGGGAATGCTCGAGAAACCCTCTAAAGATTTTCCAGAGAGTAAAAACTGGAGTAAAAGGTCGCTTTAGTGCATGAAATAATCGCGGTGGGAAAACGAGACTGTTCGGGAGGAATCATAAAGTTGTAAAAGTTATTTTGTGCTAAGGGAATTTTTTTTAAAAGTAAAATCTTTGAGTGGAAAGTTTGTGTTCACCCCATCAAGGCGGTAAGTAACGAAAACTCTTGATTTTTGTCTTTGCCTCTTGTACCGACTGTGCTATATACTCCATTATTTTTTCTCACGTTCATAAATATGTAAAGGTAATGCGCGGGTCTCTTGTGTCTCGATGACAAAAATCTTTAACTTTTTAAAAATTTTTATTCAAACTCCGTAATGATAAAATCGGTAAAATCTTTAATACAATCGATTATCGCTTGGTTCAGTGCAAAAACAAAAAGGCTCGCGCTGACATTTATTCTTTAATAAGAAAAACACAAACCGATCCCCGTCTCGATTTCCATAAAGACAAAACAAACCATCCGTATCGCGGCTCGTATCACTACTACACTGTCATTCGTGTGTACATAATGCAAAAACAACAGCAGGTGAAAACGCAACCGATAACCGATATAATATTTAATTCTCTGTGCTTCGGACCGCACCTTTTTTTTCTTTCCCTCCCCCCGCACCTAGTTTCCTCTCCGATGGCATAAAAAATGCACTTGAACTAAAAAAAAAATGTTTGTATAAGTTTTTTAACATTCCATAAAATAATTGTGCCCAAGTCATGNTAAATATATTATATCGAGATACCAATGCGCGCCAGCCTCCTCGCTCATCACCCTTGATCTCGTGCCTTCAATATTGATTGCTTCTTTGTTTTTTTTCTTGGACTAGCCGTGCCGATTCCGCGAAAAGTGCCGGCGATCGGCTTCGGTCAAAGACGATCGTGCGCGTGTATAACATAATATATATATATAACATAAGGATTGTAATTGACGATCGATGGTCTCGTCATTTGTTAACCGTGCATGGCCTTTATACTTTGCCGGTGAGAATGATAATTTGCATTGTAGCACCTAACAACGGTTATCTACAACTGTCCTCTGTGTTTTTTATTTTTTCCAATTTTAATAAATGACTCGTTACCGATCACCTTTTTTCTTTACGTTTGAGGAATCGTCGATCCATTCGTATAGAGCACGCTTTTCTTCGACGTTTCATTAAATAATGTTGATCAATCCACGCGCACCTAAACCCCATAATTATGATGGGCTTTCCCCTTGTTTTGTAACAAAAACTCCATACGTTTCTTTACTTCCGCATAACAATCAAGTGCAAGCGGCAACGCAATTACGGATAAATTATAACACAATGTGTATAATAAGACGTTGTGCGTACCCTAACTACATGTATTTTTGCGTGAATGATGTGTGCACAATATTTATAATGTCCGTATTCAAATTTGTATAAACAATGTATAGGTACACGTGTGTACGGCTATACTCCTGCACCGAAAAAAAAGTGTTTCTAACAAAAATTATCGCATCATTTTTTAAAAAGTATAGGAATGACATCCCCGATTGCTTTAAAAATATATGGGTACAGCATTTTTTGGTCAGACCCCACTATATTTGTATTCTTGGTGCGCAAACTAATGCTCTGCACGTCGCGCTCGGAGCTTTAATAGAGACATATACCGATAAAGCTCGCAACATTCGAAGAAGCTATACTCGCGTAAGCTCCGCGAAATAAGTGGCAAAAAAAAAAAAAAGGCAGACGTATTTACT